ATTTTGAAAATGCCTATTTTGAGTGGAAGCAGAAACACGCAGTTTTTTGGGCCTGTGTCTTTAAATGCAAATGAGCTGCTGCTCCCTGCCCCCTTTTCAAGAATAGCGCTGCTCCATTACAGCTCGTACTTGCTAAAAATATCTGCTTTGGTTCTAATTATCATGTTTATCGCGCTGAAATCATGCGTTTTAAACCATATGAGTTTAAATTTCTGATATACGGTTTTCTGAGAGCACACATCCAAAGCACACGGACAGAAAGCGGCTGTCACAGCATGTGAGTACTAAACTCTAAAAGTTCTCTTTCACACGCAAGTTTACGTTAAATAGTGTTCTGTGCTCGTCCGTGCAGCCAAAGACAGAACAGTTAGCATGTTTTGCTCAAACTTTCGTCATGACATTAGAACTGGTACACCATTGTCGCTTGCGAAATCAAAATGACAGCGCCGTGGTTGAAAATTTACTGATTAAGGGGAGGTAATATTATAATGAGATCCCTTTGCCACGTCACCAAGGGAGTGAAATCAGACACGCTCGTTTTCTCAGACTCTTGCAGAAAAAGGCTTACCAAAACAAAGTTACTGGGTTAATCTTTGTCATGTTTCCTTGGTTGGTAGATGCACCGGGGACCTGATTATAGCACTTAAAACCCGGAAAAGTCAGATTTTCATGATGTCACCTTTAAAACAATCTTCACATAAACCCATTATAATAAATTGTGCCCTTCAGCAAGTAGGAAATATACAGAAATTGAATAAAGTTATCAAACACAAAATTCTAAATTAAATATAGGTGAATCCTTAAAGGCACAAAAGTTATTGATTTCCTTTTTTTTTTTTTTTTTTTTTTTTTTTTTATATTTTGTTTTTTTTTTCTTGTAGTACACTATAAAACCCTCTCAGATCAGTTGTAGTAACAGTAGTGATTTTTTCTAGGTTATTTTGGCTGCTTTAAGAGCTGCCGCTGCTGAACATGACACGGATCTGCCACATATTGTATTTTCTCACTTTTTACCTTTTTTACCACTCTTTACCAAAGTCTCTACTAATGAGCTGAATCAGGTGTGTTAGATTAGGGAGACGGTGCTGGGCTGCTACAGACCAGGACAGTTCTGAAAACCACTGCATTTCAGAGACATGTTCTTAAATATGACTCATACGATACAACAAATAATGTCATAAGGTCATACCAGCGAGCAACTTAATTTGTTTGTGCAATTGAAGAGCATGTGCTACGAATGCTATAACGGCTGACAGGACAGGAAAATTAGTTTTTACTGACATATGGCCTGGCAACATCTCATCTGCCTGCGTGCAGTTCACTGTTCTGCTCGAGCTCTCTCGTCACCTGTAGCTTTTCCGTGCTTGTTGGAGTGCACGTCTGAAAAGTCTTACATTTGATGTGGTCGTAAAAACATTCTGCGTCTAAATGAAAGCAATTTTCTTGTCAAGAAAAGCAGCAGTTGTGAGTGGTGTGGCCAACCCTAGCGCCATCCCTGCATTAATTGCGTTAAATATTTGTAATGCGTTAAACTGAAAAAATTAATCGCATGCATTAATGTGCTAATTTTGACAGCTCTAAATAAAATATTTATTTCCAAAGCTACTTTTTGTAATGTCTACTTGATACTTTTCTCTTTAACACAATAATGGCTTTAAAGTACCTTTATGAGGTATTTTCACAGCCAAATTTAATGTGCAATCAATTTATTTTATCGCCACATCATGTAATTAATTAGATTAAAATGTTTAATCTACTGACAGCCCTAATATCATAATATTATTGTGAATTATTCTGGCTACAATAATCATGTAGTGAAATTTTTATATTGCGACAGCTTTATTATAATGTAATATTCACTGCAATTTGTACGCCATCCAGGTTTAGCAGCAAGAAAACTTCCTTGTCCAAACCCAAATCAACTCCAGATCATATTTCTTTGCCGCCAATGCGTCTCATTTGGGATCAGATTTTCAAAACTATGATGAGTTACACAGCCCACGATAACATTAGTAAATCCAGCAGCTACAAGTGAACAACATTACGCTGATAAAGTCAGTGTGAACAAGGTATAACACAGATTCTTCATCATCATGTTGGCCTAAAATGGTTTATTTTGCATCTCTCAACAGATGCTCCCAAAAGAATTCCCCAGAATATGCGGGCTGTACAGGGAATTTCGTTTGATGATTACAACTGTCACATACCTGTTTGTAGAAATACTGTGCATGGACATAACCAGACAAGGTAGGGATGAGATACTGTCAAACACGCTGACCTCTTCCCTGTGCTTTCCATGAGAAGTCTCTGCTATCTCTGGCATCGCGGTGTAAATAACCTTTGTCAACAGAAGTGCTTGTATGCGTATGCAGCTGATCACATTCTTCTCAGACTCATGCAACTCTCACACCTTGGTCCAGTGAATTTGAAGTTTTCGCTCAACAAAAAGGTTAAACAATAGTGGCTGTAAAGGGCAAATTCTAGCTTTCCACACGGTTCTTCTGTAGTCTTTGTGCGCAATGTGTTTATTCACTCTTTAAAGGTCAGAACCAACTATATTAGGGCACTCTTTGAATATAGGTGTAGCAAAGTTCATAGTTCGGGAAGGAGGCGGCGGGAACCGGCGAACATTCAAACAAAACTTTAATAATAAAATAAACACAAAACAGCGCGACAGTCGTCCGCGAGGGCCACAGCACAAATCCAAAACACAAAATAAACTCCAGGCCTGGTCCTCTCTCGTCCGACACTGTCATCACGCATCCCTTTTATCCTTCCGAAGCTCCTCCGTGAGACTCTAGACCAGTGAGTGGTGCAGGTGTCGCTCATTATCAATTACTCCACCGGCCTCGCTCCGTTCCCACGGCTCTCGGCCCCGCCCCCACTCGTCACAATAGGACTAGTGAAGTTCATGTTATATCTATACACAACGTTAACAAAACGTTAACATTAATACTTACATTACTAAAAAAATTAATAAAAAGGAGAACATGAGTTTATCTGATGAGTTTGTAATAGCAATATTGTAAATTCCACAACACATTAAACTTTCGACACGTTTCAGGCATGTTTATGATCAGAAGTGAGAAAGAAAATTTCAAGAAAAATTTAAGTTAAGTAATTAACCAGTACTTCTAACAACATACAATTTGGAATGATTCATACCTTTATGGTGCTTTTTAGAGAAGAACGAGGCCAAGTCATATATATATATATAAATAATGACAGGATTTTTATTTTTGGGTGAACTATTTTATAAATACAGTTTGTATTTGGTGTGAAAAGGCCTTGGTTGTGTTTTACTTTACCTCCTTGTTAAGTAACGTAAATATCTGTGCCATCATGTCACAAACAGCCTTTATCAGATCACAGTCTCACGATGACTGTGTTTTCTCCCCCTTGTAGTTGAGGTGGTGGTGGAGTATGAGTATGAAGCCGCCCACGAAGATGAGTTGACCCTCAGGCTTGGAGATGTGATCAAAAACGTACGACGAATTGAGGAAGATGGATGGATGGAAGGAGACCTCAATGGGAAACGAGGCCTTTTCCCGGACAACTTTGTAAAGGTAATTTCAAGAAAAGTTTTTTAAATGTAATTTAATATATTGGCTTTATGTAAGGTGTTGTAAGGAAATAATGGAAGTAGGCATGGGTTGGTATGAGATTTTGATGGTGTGATAACCTTAAGCAAAAATATCACGGTTTCACTGTATCACGGTATTGTCGTTGCAGCTCTAAAATGTGTTTTTTAAACTGACTGGGTGAAAAAAAAAAAAATAATAATAATAATAATTTCCCCGCTGAACACAATATATTTTATTTTTGAGCAACATACAGAATGTTAGGAACAGTAGAATTTGTTTATTTTTTCTTTGATTTGTTTCCTAAAAAGAAGAAAAATAAAGACTGACATCTTTATTTAACCTAAATCTGTAATTACAGTTATTTAATTTTAGTTATATAATTCATATACATATCATTTATATAATTTCATATAATTTAGTTATATAATTTCATATACATAATTTGATGTAATAATAACCCAATTTGAAGCAAAAACTGAATATTCTGACTAGCTTTGTGAAATTATACTTCATGCCTGAACGAAGCAAACAGCAGAAGCTCTGAATGAGACGCAGATTCACTCTCTGACAGCAGGAGGCGCTTCTGGAACACCAGAACACCGCTGTAAACAAAGCAGCACTGCGCTGAAACACTGCTTTAATATGAACTATACAGAGACGAGATTAAAATCTGCCTGCTATAGTATTTTTCTCTGTGCGTCCGTCTTCAGCGTCTCTGGCCTGTGCTAACGGGCGTTTACAGACTTCATATTTTCACATAAATTACATTTTGGAAAACGATTGCATTGCAACGCAGTTTGTGCAAGTCCAGAACAGAGATGAGTTGCTTGCAATAAGACAAAAAAACGTCTGGTTGCCGATCGCATGAGTTCCAGGGGAATCTCCTTAAGTTCGGCCATCCTATACACACGTGACCGACCGACCGCTCGCTCGCACCAACAGGAGGAGGAGGGTCGTGTTACTCTCTACACTGCACTCAACTGAGGGATTCCTACACTTTCAGTCTTTGAGGAGACATGAAAAACAGCGCACACAGCAGGAACGGTATAACGGAAAATATTAGCGGTTTTGAATCTGTAAAATTTTCTAATCGCAGTATACCTTGAAACCAGTAATCGGTCCATGCCTAAATGGAAGTTAAAAAGCCTTGTGGTTGGCCAAAAGAATTAACAGAAAGGAAGTGTTTGTCTTTAGGTATGACATTACAATTTTGAATTCTGTTTGAAATCTGACCATGTGTCATTGCAAGTATCGCAATCTCATCTTCAATTTGTGTACCTCTTAATTCACGAGTTCACACTTACATATAATGAACAGAGTAAAGGTTATGCGTATTTGGCCTGCTGTCCGGGGAGAGGGCTCCAAGCTCGGTAATTACTCTCGAACCCGGGGTACTCCCCCTGTCTGGGAAGAGGGGTCCAAGCTCGGGTCTAAGCCCGGACCCAGAGCGCTCCCCCAAACATGCAATTAGTACGGGAACCGCTGGGGCAGTGGGGAAATATGGAAAAGCTCCTGCGGGAGCGGGCACTGCTCCGGCAGTGGGGAAATTTAGGTAAGGCTCCTGGGGGAGCGGGAACTACTGCGGCAGTGGGAAAATATGGAAGAGCTCCTGCGGGAGCGGGGACTGCTGTGGCAGTGGGGAAATATGGAAAAGCTCCTGCGGGAGCGGGCACTGCTGCGGCAGTGTGGGAATTAGGTAAGGCTCCTGCGGGAGCGTGAACTGCTGCAACTGTGGGGAAATACAGAAAAGGCTCCTGCGGGAGCGGGCACTGCTCCTGTGGAGGAATATGGGAAAGGCTCCTGCGGGAGCGGGCACTGCTGGAGCAGTGTGAGAATTAGGTAAGGCTCCTGCATGAACGGGCGCTGCTGCGGCAGTGGGGAAATATGGGAAAGGCTCATGCGGGAGCGGGAACTGCTGTGGCAGTGGGGAAACATGGAAGAGCTCCTGCGGGAGCAGGGACAGTGGGGAAATACGGAAAGGCTCCTGCGGGAGCAGGCACTGCTGAGGCAGTGTGGAAATTAGATAAGGCTCCTGCGGGAGTAGGGACTGCTGCGGCAGTGGGGAAATATGGAAAAGCTCCTGCGGGAGCGGGCACTGCTGCGGCAGTGTGGGAATTAGGTAAGGCTCCTGCGGGAGCGGGGACTGCTGTGGCAGTGGGGAAACATGGAAGAGCTCCTGCGGGAGCAGGGACAGTGGGGAAATACGGAAAGGCTCCTGCGGGAGCAGGCACTGCTGAGGCAGTGTGGAAATTAGATAAGGCTCCTGCGGGAGTAGGGACTGCTGCGGCAGTGGGGAAATATGGAAAAGCTCCTGCCGGAGCGGGGACTGCTGCGGCAGTGTGGGAATTAGGTAAGGCTCCTGCGGAAGCGGGGTGCTGTTGGGATGGCTGGAGTCAGGGCCATTATAGATAGATTAGGTGATGTTAAAGGGGGTTAGCTATAGTGGGTCAGGAGTTCGAGTGAACAGAGATGGACTGGCGTTAAAGGGGTCGGCTGATGAGGATTCGGTGAGCTTCTTTGATATGGAAGCGGTCTGACGCACGTAGGTCTTGAAGGCCTCTAAGGCTCTTGACAAAATCGGTGTCCTGATGTTGATGACTACTGGGGGGGGTTCAAAGGCTAGAGTGTTCGGAGGGATGGGTAGGGGCGTGGCAGAAGATAGAGAGAAGGAAGGGGGAGCATGCGTGGGGGAGGAGGAAATATAGCTGCCGGAACCGCTTGCGGAGGCGTGCTCACGCTTGGGACGGTCCCTGGGAGCGATAGCTGAAGAAAGAGGGGAAAAGAGAGGGGGAATGGCTGGCATCTGGGCCTGCGCCATTAGTGGAGTCATGCTCACACTTGGGATGGCTCCGGGAGCGGAAGAAAGAGGGGGAAAGAAAGAGGGAAGGGCGGGCGTCGGGGCCTGCGCCATTAGCGGAGGCATGCTCACGCTTGGGACGGCTCCGGGAGCAGGAGAAAAGGAGGGGAAGAGAAGGGGAGTGGCAGGCGTTGGGGCCTGCGCCATTAGCGGAGGCAGCCGCATGCTAGGGTTGGACGGTGGGGCTGCAGGCCATGGGTAGGGGGTTGGGAGTGGGGTAAGGAAAGGGCTGTGGATGGGTCTGCGCCACTAGCGAAGGCGTGCTCACGCTAGCATCTGCTACGGGAGCTGGAGGCCACTGAACAGAAAAATGGTTATTAGTAGCATAAGGGAGCGGAAGAGATGTGGGCCTGTGTTACAAATGGAGGTAGCCTCACATTTGCTTCAGCTGCTTTAGCTGTAGGCCATGGGAAGAGGGTAGGGTTGTGACTTCCTGAAGAGCCTGTGTGGCCTGCAGTGCAAGTGGAGGCAGCCTCACGCCTGCAGTGCAAGTGGAGGCAGCCTCACGCTAGCGTCTGCTACGGGAGCTGGGGGCCGCTGAAAGGAAAAAAGGGGGTTAGAAGTAACAGGACGGAAATACTGAGATGTGAGGGCCTGTGTTGCAAGCGGAAGCAGCTTCACGCTTGCTTCGGCTGCTGTAGCTGTAGGCCGCAAGAAAGTGGAAGGGTTAGTGACATTTAGCGGGACAAGCTGAAATGCCTGGGTAGCCTGCGGTGTTGCCGACTTAGCAATTTGGTGCTAGATTTGGAACTCCTCAAGCCTTGTCCACATTAATAAGTTTCCGTTGAAAATGCATCTTTGCCTCTTGTTTTGGCCTTCCATCCACGCTAAAACAATGAGTCCAGGAAAACAGAGCTTTAAAAACGCTTTCCAGAGCGGATAAATTTGAAAAAGCTGTTTTCACGTTGTAGAAACGGAAGGTTTTGAAAACGATGAAGCATGTTTAGTCGTGTAACGCATTGTACCAATAGACATGTTTATACCAGTAACGTTAATTTTGCAGTTATGTGCTATTCACTTTCACACTGTTGCTAAAGATATTTACTTTGCACGCTCTTCATATTACGGTCATAAAAAGATGACAGAAAATTGACTCACAATTGCTGTCCTGTGGCAAAACACGAGGGCAGTTGCATTTTAGATCAATTCTGAGTGAGCGCGTCAGTGGATGGTGAAATATTTCTGTAAATGAATTGATCCTGTCAGAAGAATTGCGTGAAACTTATTATGTCTGTTCCGTCTGTATCATCTCAGTGAGGTTTTATACATGCACAGTAAGGCTAATGTAATGCTTTCAGACATTTCAGTGTGGATGATAAACTTTGGGGGAAAAATGGCCCTTTTTTTTAATTGCTTAAAAAAATGGCATCAACATCCGTTTGTCATAACGTCATTTAACAAACTTTAGACACGAAAACCTGCTTTTAGCGACTTCAGCTGAAATGTAATTAATTTGCAACGCGGCCTGCGCCGCTAGCGGAGGCAGCCTCAAACTAGTGTCTGCTACTAGAGCTGGAGGCCCGGCTGCGTACGGCGCTGCGGCCGGAAGAGCGGGAAGCGAGTGAGGCTTTGCTGTGGTGAGATCTGGGGTGCGACCCAGCGCTTGAGGAGAGTTTGTGCGGGACGATGGTGGTGTCGAGCGAGGCGAGCTCGGGGCTTTGCACGGCCTATTGGCTAGAGCGTATGGCTGGTCGAGAAGAGCGGTGGCCGCGATGAAGCCTGGTGCTTGGTGGCCGTGTCTGGCGGGGAAGGAGTGATCATGGGGCTGGCAAATTGCGGCGGATCTGAAAAAATCCCCAGTATAGATCTCTTCGTTGGATGGGAAATTAGGTCTGTGATAAGATGGCAAAGGGAGCGAACCGAATGCTGAAAGACTAGAGATAATGAAGATTGTTAATTATCTGCGCGTGCTCCTCCCGAAATGTGTTAATAAAGCATCACTTAGTGTTTTGAATTGTTACTGAGGCCGCATGAGGAAACCCACATTAAAGTAAGTTGTAATGGCAAATCTTGTCAAAGGCAGGAAATTATTGTTTTTGTTTCCTTGCGGAGATCCTTTAGTAGGGTGTGAGGGAATCTTCCACTCCCTTAACTGAACTTTGAACCTGGAAAGATTTGATAGTCAGCACTCAGGTGGTTTCAGGTGGTTTCAGGAAAAGACCATGGAAATTGAGCAGGTGAGGAGCTCATTTAATTTGTCTGTCTGTCAGTTTGTATCTAAATAAGATCTTGTGCTCGAGGTGTCTGGAAGACGTGTTACTGGTAATATTTTGTCTTTAGTTTGTTTTCTATTCATTCAGTTTTTCATAACGGGGCACTGGGTTTGATTGCTGAATCATCAGACAGGGCACCTACAGGAAAAGCATAGCCAGAAAAGTATTATTTAATTAAAAAAAAATTTTTTTGTTACACAAACTACACAATTTTATTGTGTCCTTTAAGTTCATTTTCTGGAATTGTGCATTGTGGTTTGAAGATTTTATTTGTATTTATTTTTTGACAGTTTTATTTTTGTGATTTACACTTTTTAACTGAGGACTGTAATTTCTGTAATTTCATGTACTGGTTCAGACATGATTGGTATCGTTTTTTACTAAGATAGGAGTGTCTTCTCAGCATGTGTGAAGATCATGTGCTCTAGATGCATCACGAAACCCACTGAAATAAACCTAGACATCTCTGCAGGGCTGTACGTTTTTTTTTTTACATAGCACTGGTGCTACAGAGGTTGAAAGTTTTGTAGCACAGGCCAAAAAGTTGTAGCACAAGTATAAAACGTCTGTTATCATGTCTGAAAACAAACACAAGTAATGGAGTTCATCACTTAAACAAGCACTGATGTTCCATACAGAGCACAAAAAATACAAACCATCACAAAGATTGTTTTTAGACAAAGTTTTCTTAATTTGCTAAAAATGGAAGAGTGCAGAAACATAACACCTCTTACCTTAACAAAATATAAAATAAAAAAAGAATGGCAGACATTTAGGCCAAAGTGAGCAAAGATAAAAATCTTTGTCATTATTTTATCTTTGTTATTAGAAAATAAGAACAAAGATATACATTACAAATACATATAATATACAAATAAAACAAACAGTGCTTCATTTTACAGGTACAGTATTTAGCAGTAACATTCAAGAAATTGAATGAACAAATATTAAAATAAAATACTATATACACTCTATATACATCAATTATACTTTTTTAAAAGCAACTGACTGATGATAAGTTGACTTCACACGATTAAGCGGCTGTGTTATGAACATTCAAAACTGTATCGCACGAGTGCTACAGTAGTAAATTTATTCATCGCACAGACTAGTTTTTTTGTAGCACGTCCAACATATATGTCGCACTGTACAGCCCTGCTCTGCTGTAATAGTACTTTAGTATTTATTTTTAAATGTATTTGTTTATTTATGTTTATATTCTAAGAAAACCAGGAGCTTTAAAAGGTTGGGAAATCTGACCTGAAATTAGTTATTAAGCGGGTGTAACAAAAAGGAATTTCTTTGTCAGCATCTCATTCAGGAAGTTTGGAGCGGATGTAGCCTGTGGCATTCTCCATTCTGCACCGGAGCTGCCAGGAAACAAAGAGTGCTACTCCACATGCCATTCTCTCAAACCCAAACCCTGTCTAGGCAGTGCTATGATAACCCTATGGTACTTTGATGTATTACATAGTACTGAATGATTACCATAGTATTAAAGGGTACTTCAAAGAATGTCATGTTATCAACCAAAAACAACATAGTATAATTTCCCAAAAACCATGGTAGTTTTTTGGTTAAGTGAGAATTATGTAGACTAAAATAAAGCAAATGCAAAGTGTTCTGAGATTAGCATAGCAAATGCAGTTTAAGTGATTTAATTTTGTTGTTGTTGTTAATATTATTTTAATCTGAATAATGTATATTGTGCCACTAGGTTCACCAAATGGAATTGCATAAATAATTAATTGTTTTTTTTAAAACACATTTTCCATTAAATTGGTTTAAAGTTTTTCACACGAAATGATTGCATGATTTATTTATAATTAATTTATGAACCTGTTAATTCTCTTTTTAAGTTTTAGATTTTGATTTCACCATACACTCACTACAGATCAATTTCAGACAACGTTAAATCATTTCAAGAGTCTGGGGTAAAACACCCCATATGTTGTTTATGCTGACATGTTTATTGGTCATTTATATGGAGAAATATGTTATTTAAAAATACACTTAAAATTTAATTCCACTTTAATTCTACTTCATTACATTCTAATTGCTACCTTAATTAAAATTCAAGAAATTAAAAGGATTCTTAATTCATTGCTGAATTGATCCCTAATGTAATAAAGGAATCTTTATTTTTGATCATAGTATTAAGTGTTATACCTCAGATCCTCTAATATCCATGTTTTTTAGAAGAAATCACAGTATAAATAGCATCTTAGATCTTATCACTCTTTTTCTGAATGTGTGAGGGAGGATCGGGTTTTGGTGAATTTACATGTGTTTGGAAACAGTGAAAGTAGGTGCTAGTTGGTGGTTTCTCTAGAGTTTTACAAGATGTGAGTGTGAAGAATGTAAATGTCTAATGTAAACAACAAAGAATTCATGCATTCATGGTGAAATAAACAAAACTTACAGGTGCTGTTTGGTTTGTAGATGTTGAATTCTCTTAGACATTTCCATTTGAATTCAAACAGCCTCAAATTCTGATTTATTCATTGTATTACTGAAAAAAATATTTTTTTATTGTCGTATTTAAATGTGTTTATTTGTCAAACAGATTTTGCTAAATCATTTATACCATACTATTTATACCATAATTTATATGTTTGCATATGACTTACAAGGGTACAATGTCTGTCAGGTTCCAAATAAACTGATAAAATAATTAAACATGATGAATTAGCTTTCATTTGTGCAGTGTTTCATCCACTGGATTTTTCAAAAATAGGCAGTGTCATATTATTATTTAATTATATAAAGAATTTTAATTAGAATTTCCAGGAAAGATGTCATGATATATGTTGTGTCTGTGGTATATTTTTTATATGGTATAATTACTCCTACCATGATGTATGATTTTCCATACTACTATTATATGTGATAATATATTAGATATTTCATTCTTTTTTCCTTTTCTTTTTTTATCAAGGAGGTGAAAAAAGATGAGCCAAAGTCCAAAGAGGAGTCAAAGGAGGCTAAAGAAAAGGAAGTGAAAGATGAGACTCCGATACAGCGGCGAGCATCAGGGAATGTGGCGAGCCTGGTACAGAGGATCAGTACCTATGGCATCCCAGCAGGAGGAATTGGCTTGCCACCCCAATCTCAACCCCGTGCCTTAAAAAAGAGTGTGTCTTTTTTCATTTCAAATTCTAACAGCTTTTATCTCTTCTTTAACATTGTTTTGTTTAGAATAGCACACATAAAATGACCCTACTACCTGACAGACCACACATCTGTCTCTGTGACAGCCCTAGACTCAATAACAGCAAAGAAAAAAGTAGTCATGGAGCCCACTTTTTTTAGCCACTGAGAAAAAGTAGCCAGTCAGAAACACGTTCTACCTGTAAATAATTTTGTGTGTTTGAGTTTGCTGACATAAAGTTGACTGACATGTCTTTGGATGAAGGCCATGTGGTCAATAGATTGTGGTGGTCCAGTACAGTCTAGTGGAAATTAGCATCATGGGTAACATGGCTTACATCATCTTTTTTTGTTTGGTGTGGCATTGTGGATTTAAAAAAAAAAACATTTTAGCATTAGTTTAATGTCACAATAATTTATCACAGCAGGCTGAGATTATTTTTATATTTTACCATAGTACAGCATATGGTAAAATCTTTCACCATTTTGTGTTTTGGTCTCTGTTTTGATGGAATCAGAGTTCAGCACAAAAAGCAGATATAGCAGATGACAGCTTTGGCCAGTAGTGGGCAGCAGTAGCTTTCTTATTGGCTCATAAAGCCTGTTTTCTTTTCCTCTGTCTTGAGTCTTGAATGTATGGCTGTCTCAGATTTTAGAGGAAGTCCACTTGATCCTCTCCAGCTGCATAGGAACATGGTTACTGAACACACAGAGATTGTGATGCCGTCCTACATTCAAGGTTTCTGCAGAACAAATCATCTAAAACAGTGATAACAGACAGTGGAATGTGTTGACTCTCTCCGTCTGTGCTCCTGTGCAGGTTAATTGCATTGTACCCTTGAGGAAATAATGTATTTTTGTTTAGTTTCTGCTCAGTGCAGCTTTCATTTCAAGCTATTCTCCAAATAGATATTGTTCACCTGGCCTTTTGCTAAACTAAAGAGTTCTGTGGGGGTACCATGGTTCAGTAATAGAATTAGATGGCAATACTGTAGTATTTCAATATAACGCAGTGTTTCCCACAGACTTACACTCTATGTGTGTTGGCAATTCCCCTGGGGGAAATAGATATGTATATAATGTAAATTTAAAACGGCAGACGGGCTTATTGAAAGTGCAAATTCATTCTCTGCCAGCAGGAGGCACTTTTGGAGCGGTAGAAATAGCGGTTTCCCCAGTAATGGCTGTAAACATAGCAGGCCTGCTCATGTTTATTCAACAAAGTCAAAGCCTTTTGGAAAATATGTTTGTGGCGGTCAGTGTTGATATTGTGGCGGGCCGCCACAAATAAATCAGTGTATTGGAAACCCTGTACCATGATCGGCACACTACTGTTCAAAAGTTTGGAGTCAGAAAGATTTTTTTTTTTTTAAAGAAATTAATACTTTTATTCAGCAAGAATTATTAAATTGATCAAAAACATTAAATTGATAAGCATTAAATTAATCAAAATGGACAGTAAAGGCATTTATAATGTTAAAAAAATATATGTATTTCAAATAATTGCTGTTTTTTTTTTTTACTTGCTGTTCATCAAAGAATCCTGAAAAAATGGTTCATGGTTTACAAAAAAATGAAGCAGCACAACAACATTGATAATAATGAGAAAAGTTACTTGAGCACCAAATCAGCATATGAGAATGATTTCTGAAGGATCATGTGACATTGAAGACTGAAGTAATGGCTTCTGAAAATTTAGCTTTGCCATCACAGGAGTAAATAACTTTAAAATGTTTTTTTTTTTTAAATGTTCTAAAATAACGTTTCACAGTATTACTGTTTTTAATGTATTTTTGATAAAATAATGCAGCCTTGATGAGCATGAGACAAAATAATTGATACAGTAAAAAATGTTTCAAAAAATATTTTACGTATATTTATCAGAATTATTTGATGAATATAAAGTTCAAAAGTACAGCATTTATATGAAATCGAAATCTTTTTTAACATTTGAAATGTTTACTGTCACTTTTAATCAATTTAATTAATTATTGCTGAATAAAACTATTAATTTCTTTAAAAATAAAATCTTACTGATCCCAAACTTTTCAACGGAAGTGTAAAAATGTTCTAAAATAACGTTTCACAGTATTACTGTTTTTAATGTATTTTTGATCAAATAATGCAGCCTTGATGAGCATGAGACAAAATAATTGATACAGTAAAAAAAAATTCAAAAAATATTTTACGTATATTTATCAGAATTATTTGATGAATATAAAGTTCAAAAGTACAGCATTTATATGAAATCGAAATCTTTTTTAACATTTGAAATGTTTACTGTCACTTTTAATCAATTTAATTCATTATTGCTGAATAAAACTATTAATTTCTTTAAAAATAAAATCTTACTGATCCCAAACTTTTCAACGGAAGTGTAATTGGTAAATAATTGCACATTTCTCACAATCCACAAGCAGTAGAAGATTTAGTAGTGGAGAAGATTTCTCGGCTGAGTTTTTGAGTGACAGGAAACATGTCTTAATTTGGCAAATAATATGGAGCAAACAGAGCAAATTTTTCTCTTTAAAGGGCATATGAATCATCTCAAGGACAGGGTGTGGTGTTTGTGTGTGAGAGTGTATGTGTGCATACAAGTTTAATAAAGACTCTTCCTGATTGTGTTAGTCTTTACTCGTTGAGCCCTCTTCAGGTAGCTGGAGGAATTGTTCCCCTTGCATACTGACATTATTGGCTAAGCGTGTCAGGCCAGTTCCAGAGTGACTTATTGTGTTTTCATTACAGAGCTCAAGAAGCGTCAGTGCAAAGTCCTTTTTGAATATGTTCCTCAGAATGAAGACGAGCTGGAACTGAAGGTTGGAGATATCATTTACATCACTGAGGAGGTCAGCTGCTTCTCGCTTTTGTATTTAATGTAACTGAAAGTTTTGAAATTGTGCTGAATATATTAGTTCTCTATTTATAGAAATCCATGCACAGCAAACGTTCTTTAATAGGGTTTGTGCATGCTGCAGTGTGATATATGATGGTAAAGTAGTGAGATGTTCCTTAATTTTCATTTCTCGCAAAATGAGCAGTCTCTTGTAATTTTTAGTTTGTGACTTCATCAATAACATTCATCAATAATAAGATCTGTGGCTCTCCAATGGTAGTTTTTGGCCCAAAATGTCACAAGTCTGTTTTGAAAGGGTTGCAGACAGGAAGGAAAATAACAATATAAAATGCAAATTAAACAATTAAAATAGCCGTATCATTGTGACTAGTTAGTAAATATATAAAATAAAATAAATAGGCATACATAGGCTAAATGCTTCACTTGCTTCACTAAATGCTTTGGGGGTTGTGTATGTCAAAGACAGTGTGTCTGATCAAACTCTGTGGTATTGTGATGCAGATTTGTCTATGCTTACCAGATAAATGGACAAATACCAAACATCTCCCTCCTCTTTAAAAACAAAATGAATGAAATATGCAAGACTACTTTAAGCCAGACTACATTTAATATGGGTTCGTTTATGGCAAGGATTTTTTTGTTTTGTTTTGCTTTTGGCAATCAAAATTCAAGAGACATTAAAAAACATTACATAATTTTATAAACCTTTGCATTTTTGTAGGAAAGTGTTGTAGGGCAATTTATGCCTTAAACAATTTTGCTATTGTGTTGGTTTGTCACTTTGTGTGGTGTCCAGTGTACAATCTGCGTCCTGAAGTGAAACCAGTTGAGACCCACTGTCTTTGAAAATGAGCATTTGACTGGACGGTTCCTGTATTAGTGCTGACTGTAGGTGTTTTTTAGGTTGAGGAGGGCTGGTGGAGCGGAAGCGTGAATGGGAAGTCTGGACTCTTTCCTTCCAACTTTGTCAAAGAAATGGAATCAACTGAAGACACAGAGACGAGCGATGTAACAGACGAGCCAGGTACTGCTCCGCTTATCCTGTGATATATTCACAGAGAGGGCATGTCCTTACAAGAAAACACTCAACAGACACCTTTGTTGTTGTTTTTTGTACGTTTAAGGGTGTGTGTGTGTGTGCGTGTGCGGTATTTTTGAGGTGTTAGACCTAGTCATGGCATCTGCAGTTGACAACTTCTGTTTATAATTTTTTTGTTTGTTTGTTTTTTGAGGCATTAGGCCAACTGAAGCAGTCTGAAGAGTTTGAATGAAATTCCATAAAGTGACCAAGTGTACTAAGTTTGGAGTCAGTAAGATAAAAAAAATAATAATAATTTTACTGAGAGGAAGAATGTTTATAATGTTATTCTCTTTCAAATAAATGCTGTTCTTTCGAACTTTCTGTTCATCAGAGTATCCTGAAAAGATGTATCACAGTTTCCATGAAAATATTAAGCATCACAACTGGTTTCGACATTGCTAAAAAAAACAAACAGTTTTTTCAAAAGCATCAAATCAACATACTTGGCTGCTGAAAACTCTGCTTCACCATTGCAGGAATAAAAATATTTTTAAAAACAGTTATTTTAAATTGTAATAATATTTCACAATATTACTGTTGTGCTTTATTTTTGATCAAATAAATGCAATAAATCTTGATGGGCATAAGAGTGTTTCAAAAACATAAAAAAATATAGATCACTTTTATGATAACTTTTGTAGTGCTTTGGTGTTTATGGGAATTCATCCTTAAATAAGATCAGTTATTTTAATAATGTTTACACAGTTTACTTTGCATATTACTTTTTTGTAATCAAAACTTTGTAAAGCTTGTCGTGGCGGTACTCTTACAGTGGTGTGTGTTCACAGATAGCAGAGATGGAGCGACTAGCCCCACGTCCCCTCACCAAGGCAACGGGGTCATGGCCCAACCGAAGAAGATTAAGGATTCTCGCTATAGCCGATCTGTATTGCTTTACAATCAGGGCGGTAGCAGATTCATTTTGCACCCCTGTAAGGATCTGCATTCTATGGACACTTAGTTCAAATCAATCTGAAGTGCTGTTTGTGTGGTTAAAAAATATAATATGAAATATGGGCCCAAATTTGTGAGTGGACGATGTAAATAAAAACTGTGCATTTACTTAACACTGATGCTGTTAAGTAACTTTTTCAATCAAAACTTGTAAATCTGATTTATATGAAATATTGTTTGCGTGATCAAGTGTTTTAACCAGTAAATATCTCGTTTTACATTTATATGCATTTATATTCAACACACCTGCACCACATTTAAAAAATAAAAAAAAATCACACATGTTTTTCCTCCCCAAACACTGGCAATAACTTTGTAATACTTTTAATTAAGGTTTGAAAATATTATTTATAATGCTTTATACATCGTTAGATCCACATAGCTGCTCATATTGGCCTACATCAATTAAACAGCTTGACTGAAAAACTGGGAAATGCTGTTGTGTGACTACAATTTAACCTATTACACAAACTTGCATGTTTATCATGTTGAATCCAGTTATTTATTGACTCTTTTTTTCCCTATCTTGAATAGCATGACACTTCCATAACACATTTGTATACAGCGTAGTGTTGTTCCCATAGCCGTGATTTAAAGCAATGTTTATCCAGCATTTTCAAAGGAATGTCAAATATAATACTGTGGCTTGACTTGATACACAATCTAATGGTATAAAGAAATCTAACTTTAAACATCTTTTACTGTACCAATTTTTATGGCCCTTATATTTCCTATTTGAGCCAATGCAGATGAATGAAGTTATATCAGGATGAGATTGAAAAGCAAAACGTGATTGACTATAGAGGGAACATGCTACGATTGATCAGCACATTTGTGGTTTTGTCAGCGTCTTGATGCCTGAAATGTTTCAAAATCCACAAATGCACAGAAAGCCATTCACAAATGTACGGGGAGCGATCCACAAATGCATGCAGCGATCTACAAATGTACAGGACGCGATTCACAAATGAATGCCAGGCAAAGTTGTTCGTGACATAAAAAGATATTTGTGAATGTTTTTTATTTGCAAATCTCATTTGATTTATTTGTGAATTTAATTAATGTTTGTGAAAGCCTAAGATTTATTTGTGGATCTCATTCTACTTATTTGTCAATGTTTAATTTTTCTCTAAAAATGTTTCTCTAATATTCTGATGTTGGTCAGAAAAGTAATGTTTTGTTGAAAAAAAGATACAGAGTATTTCCAATTAATGTTTAGTTCAATGATTCAAACATTATTTTTATTATTTATATTTTTTATCATTTAACCGTGTATGTATTTGTGCTTTGTTTATGCAATGTTTTCTTCATAATATCATGTTTTTTTCGCACCCATATATAAATGAATGAATATAAGCTGTCTTTATATTTGGGGTCCTTTGCATTATAAAGTTTGGAAACCCCTATAATAATTTTGTAGCACATGATTAGTGGGGCTGTAGCTTGATTAAAATCAACCCCATCCTACATTTCCCCCTGAATTTTCTGTTTCGCTTAGTAGTACACTACCTTTCAAAAATATGGGGTTGGTAAGATTTTTTAATGTTTTGAAAGAACTCCCTTATTTTTAATGTAATTTATTCCTGTGATGGCAAAGCTGAATTTTCAGCAATTATTACTCCAGTCTACAGTGTCACATGATCTTTCAGAAATCATTTTAATATGCTGATTTGGTGCTCAAGAAACATTTTTATGATCAAAATTGAAAACAGTTGTGCTGTATTTTAGTGTAAAATATTTTTTTAGGATTCTTTGATGAATAGAAAGTTTAAAGAAAACAACATAACATTATTGTAACATTATCAATGTCTTTAATTTTTGATTAATTTAATGTGCCCTTGCTGAATGAAAGTATTAATTTCTTTTTTTTTTTAAACCTTACTGATTCAAAATTTTTTAAAGTTAGTGTACATTGTATTATAGTTGTTAAATGTGTCACAAAAAAGTCATTTGGCTCTATTTACAGCATTATTGCATTTAACCAATACTTCAGCTCTCCCTTTTTTGTCACATTTTGCATCCTCTTATGTCATTCAGATCAGTTGAATCATCCACTGCGTCTCATATCTAGAGCTCAGAGGTCATTTATAACATGCCATCTTGTGATGTGATGGTCAAAGGATTTACTAAATACTATAGGTTTCTTACTATGTTTTGGATTTTAAAAAGTCTACATTCAGCATGCTCTCCCATTGACTCTTTACATATGTAACAGTGGTTATTGTTTACCCAGCATTCTTTTCATCCAGGCATGGTTGATCTGCCTCAGAGTCTGTACCTTTCAGTGTGCAAATGCATGTGTTTGTGTGGCTGCTGTGTCAGTAAATCCATTTGTGATTCTGCTTCATTTTAGCCAATCCCATCATTACCATCTGCCACAAAACCCACCCATTTGAGCACTCCTGAACCCCCTAAAGGAGAAAAAGAGGCAGAGAGCAAAGGAAAAGGTGAGTTCATGGGAAGGTTGACATAAAGCTGTATGTGATAACCAAAGTAATGACAGGAGATTTATGGAAATGCACTACACATGAACAACTGCAGTGATTATGACTGACTGACATGAGTTTTCCTCCTCCTGGTTATTAGCTAAACCCAAATTATAGATTAGTATGTCTTTCTGTTAGTATTGAAAGTGCACTTACACCTTGTGCTTTACTAATAACACTCCACAAATTAAAGTGTCTGTAGTAGCTGCATAAGCCAAATCAAGGTATTATTTGTAGCACCTTCTCATAGATATATCCTCGTTTTTTCTTATCTTTACAGTAGAAGAATACTGTAAGGCCACATTCCACTATGAAGCAACTAACCAAGATGAGCTGGATTTAAAGGAGGGTGACATCGTCCACGTACTGAGCAAGGTATGGAACAGGCAGAGCAAATGTTTACCCAACCACCGAGATCTCTAAATAAACAACACATATTCAGGAAGCATTTTTTAAGACAAAGCATCCACATCAGGAATATGAAGCACATCAATAATTATGCAATAACTTACATTATGTAATACCTATAGAAAGGAGGAAAAAGCATAGCATAATCTCTTAATAGCCAAATGTCGCAGATTAATAAAAAAGTGTCCCTGTTGTATTCACCCTTTGGATTTTTTTATTTTATTTTTTTTGCTGTTCTCTTCTGAGTCCTGTGCAAATAGTCATAGTCAACACTGAATGTAAGTTGTACAAGTATAAGCAAAAGTTTATTCTTGTACAAGTAAATATTTTTTTATTAGATATATCATGTCACATTGCATGACACAGTGCTTAATATGTGTCAGCTACTCTACATACTCTCTATATACTAATTGGTAAACAAAAAAGGAGTAAGACTTTAACTTTGTTTAGCCATCAGGGAGTAGTGTAAACCAGTTTTGGTAGTTACCTCTCTGGTTGGCAACAGTCTGCAAACTGCATTAATGAAGAGGAGGCAGGAAAGGCTCTGCCTTTTACAAAATCATTTGAACCAATCACTTTTACGCTCTTCATTTAGACCAGTTAGTCTATATCCTGCACCGTAGTTTAGTCTGGTGTGTGAAAACACTCATTGACACAAGCTTACGGACTAGTTGGTCCACATTTTTGCAAATTATGCCAGAGAGGTAGAGTCAATAGTGTGTATTAGAACTACATATTATACATTATAAATATGTAATTATGAAGAATATTGACATTTGATGCATGGATTAAATCACTCTTTTTAATGGTTTAAAGGGGAAAAATCACCCTAAGATGAAAATAGTCTTAATTTACAAAAACCTGTAAAACTTGTAATGCAATTGTTGTTAGTACAGAACTCTCAGATGGGGATTCTGATGCAAAACTTTTGTAGTGATCAGAAATAAAGACTTTTGACTTGTGTGTTTGATGCTATCTGCAGATACATTTACAATTTATGAAACTGTAGCTGTTGTATATCATACCAGTGACTTCTGTTCTGTTAGCAAACTAAGGATGTGTTTGTTTTAAGACACATGGATAGCATAGTCAGCTGATGTTTGTCAAAGGCCTTGAGCAGGAAGTAGATCAAAGTTAGAAATGACCACCATCTAGTGGCAAGGGACATGTCTGCATTTCCCATTCATAATAATGTGTATTAAGGTGTATTGTATATTTTATGAAATGAGCCATTTATGTTCTGAGTGTTTAATGGTTTTGATATTTTAGGACACAGGAGAGCCAGGCTGGTGGAGAGGAGAGATCAGCGGCAGAGAGGGAGTTTTCCCAGACAACTTTGTAGCTCTGCTTCCTGAGACAGACAAAGAGGTACATTTATATTCATTAATGCTGCTTTTGATGTCTACCTTGGGAGTGTGCATTTTTTGAAAAGGAAATTGAACCACTCAGTGCAGACGTGACTACTTTACTTTGGAAAGTTATTATTCTCAAAATTAATTCTCAGTTGTGACAAGTAAAAACGTACTAAACAATAATCTTTAATCAAAAGTTCTTATTTTTTCCCTCTATACAGACACTCACATCCAAAGGCTCCGTTAAAGCATCTCCTAAACAGGAACCAGAGGAGGTAAGCAATGCTTATCCTCTTGTTAGACACTTCATTATTGGAGTACACTTCATATTAAGATAGATAGATAGATAAAAAAACTAGTTTTGAATTCTTTCCCTGTCTTAATCATTTTGAGAATTTTAATACAGATGTTTTTATAGATAAATACATGCATTACAAGATATACACTAGCATTCAAAAGTTGGGCACACCTTCTCGTTGTTTGTGTTTACTATAATAGTCATCAAAAAGTAGATCAAAAGGATTTTAAGATCATGTGAAACAAATTCTGTCAGTTGTGTCTCAGTATACTGTATATTGAGTGTCATCAAAAAATTTAGATTTTCTTTTTTTAAGATCATTTTTTTTTGTCTCCCAGCCCTGCTTCCCAATGAAAGGTATTCACTAAACATTTTAATCAAAGATGTTAAGGACCAAAATCAACAACACTCCAGACAATATCAAGTTAACATTTGATTTTTTGTGGTTCAAAAAACATTTAAGTTTTTAAATCAATAGTAGCCACTTATCATCACCATATGTTTTGCAACCATGGCTTCATTCTAGCTTTGGGATATTCGAGTTTAGCCTGAGGGTGCATGTTTAACTACATTTTGGCAAACTCTGGAACAACAGGCCATTTTTATTGTGAAAATTAGGGGTGCTCCGATCAGGATTTTTGAGGCCGATCACAGAAAGCAGTATCTGCCGATACGATCACCGATACCGATCTTTTTAAAGCGTTATTTTTATCAGGTAGAATTATTTATAGTAAGACTCCATTCAGGAATTTTAGACATCTATTCAGGGCCTGAATTTAATTTTTGACTCTTGTGAGAGGGGATTTTTTAGTTTGAGGGGTGGAGGGGGGCATTTTTTAGACATTTAAAAAATATATATATTTCACCTAAATGTTTGATCATGCACTGCATTTTTGTTTTTACAATCGTGCAATTGTTGCACAATAGCTTACACACAGCGCAAGCCTGATTTTGTGAGCTGAATGTGAGGCGGCCTTTTACACCGGGTTCACACATACTCTGTTTGCAGTGCGTATGCAGTCCATGTGTGGTACGTAAGCGGTGCAGAAGCAGCTTTCACACAGAAGTCTGCAACTGATCTGTGGCTGTTTAATACAAACACAACAGTTATCCATTATTTTGATTTCAACTCCAAACATTGTTACGTAAAATGCTTTTTCAGCATTGTGATTCTTTTTTCACACAGTGCAGAAGCTAATACAATCTTTCATAGACGTGTTTAAACGCAATAAATGTAATAAACACATTATTCAATGCTTTTTACTTTTGCTTTTACTTCTAGATTGATAAAATTAAGTTGGGCAAGCATGTGGCAAAACATTTAAACCACTTTTCTAACATTATCACAAACATTCTAAATTAAAACTTACCATTGACAGTAACAGTCAGCTCTACTGCCTTTTCTTTTGCATTTAATTCTTTATTACAAGCAATCCTGTGGTTCATAAACTGTTTTCCTACCTCCACAAGTGCCATCTGTTATTGCCTTGTTTTTCTAAAAGTGCCTAAAAAAACCTAGCCAAAAAGCCATAGCCTATGTTGTCTGTGAAACACAGTAGACTTTAATTCTATGCATTTATGGTGTAATTACTACATTTTCGTGTCAATCCATGTTCATGTTTACCGCAAACAATGCGCTGTTACTTTAATTCAGCGCTTGCATCGCAGCAAAAATTGACTCGGTATGGAAACGATCATTGCACTGCTGCAGATGCACCGCTCCTGGAACACACTGCCGGACCGCAACCGTGTGCAGTGTGCACTCTTCAATCCGTTTACATGAGCGCAGAACAAACGGAGTATAATAATGTGAACCTGACATTATGTGTGTGCGCTGCGAGTGTGCATGAGCGCTCAGTCTCCAGGAGAGTGTGCGAGCGTTGAATGGTTTAAACACTGGCAAGAATTAAAAATAAATGCAATTTATAAACTTTAGTGATGATGCGACACTGCCTCGATTGTGCAAGTGACAATTCCTGTGTCAGCTGTGCAGCATGCAGCTCGCTTATAGTGCAGACGCGATGTGATTTGAAGCCGTTTGCGCATTTTGAGAGAAAGTGAGCGCGTGCGCGGTGATTCACTCACGCTTTGTGAAATTATGTCTCGCAGAAAGTTTTCAAATGAGCTACTTTGTTATTTAATGAAGAAATATGAACTGTACCTCACTTCAGCATTATAATTATTTCACCCGCGCCGGCCTGAGACGGTGACGCTGCATGTCGTGCCAAACCTCTCACGGCAGACGCGTCATCAGCTTGAGATCGGTTTTTTGAGATCGGCCTTTATAGAGACCACCGATCAATCATCCCAAAGCGATTATCGGCCGATAGTGATTGGTAGCCGATCAATCGGAGCACCCCTAGTGAAAATCATATTATTTGTTCAAAGCACCAGCTACCATGAACAAACAGAGGGTTTGTGTGGCCAAACGTTATGCTCTGCCACATCCATTTTCCAGAAAAATTCTGTGAAGCCACATATCCCTCCACTGGATGAGGTCATGGGTTGATATGCTGAAGGCATAAGTGTTTGTTTTTCTTTCATTCTTTTTTTTTTTATAAATCTGTTCATTTTCAACCTCATTGGTGAATGATTGTCTTTGTGATGCTGCAGTGAGAATGTGATGAGCTGACGCTCATGTGATGGGTTGTGGAGGTCAGCGAGCAGTTCATGAAAATGTGAAAGTGTTCATTTCTCCAATGATCAATCCTTGATCCTATAAGCGTCCTGTCAGATGATGAGGCATTGATCTCTGTCTGTATCAGGAGTAAAGGGGACAGAGGGCATTTACAGGAAGGCAATTTCTGTAAATTGTATTTGACTGCAATTATAGTGCATTCAAATAAACAAGTATCCAAGATGTGATCATTATTATTATTATTATTATTAATGTATTTATATTTGATCAAAATAATATATAAATGATCAAGTAGTAGTTGTCTCCTTTGCCTAATATATAAATATTAGGGGTGGAACGGTTTGCGGAAAAAAATCTAACCGTACGGTTCCTCTTACACGGTTCGGCACGCGCTAGGACTGCGGTTCAACTTAAATCTGACAACACATCTATAATATGGTTTGCTATAAATAACATGTAAAACAAACAGGGTTCGGTTAATATATGTTTCTGTTGATGGATGCGCATTCTGGCTTCCCAATACATTGCAACAGCAGCGATGAAAAAAAAACGTGGACAAACCATTCACTCTTGTTCAGTGCGACTGCCGTATGCTGGAATATGAGCATTTATCCCGTCATCACCCAGGTACTGATAGCGCGTGCACAGGTGAGACCTGAACAGCACACGTTGATATCTGTGTTTAAGCTAAACTCATTTAAGCTTTGCCAGTTTAAACATTTAAGAGCTAGAGGACACGAGCTCGTGCGCGCAGTGAGAAGATCTGTGCGTGCGCTCATCCAAAACGTGCAAACCCGCGCCTCAGAACGCGCGCAAATATTAAAGTGCCCCTATTATGGGTAATGAAAGGTTCATATTTTGGTTTTGGGATTCCCCAACAACAGGTTGACATGCATGCAAGGTCAAAAAACACTTTCATTGTCTTATAATATGCATTTATTTTTTACCTTATTTGCTCAATGACTCCCAAATGATTCGCTCAACGATTCATTTTTTTCAAACCCCTCCTTTGCATGACGCTAATCTACGGTGATTGGTCTGATTGGTCTCAGTTTCATTTCATCATGCCTGTAATGCCTGATAAAGCAGCATTTGTGAGCACAGTGCTGCTTTGTGTACAGCGTTACCGGGGAAACCGCTATTTTTACAGCTCCAAAAGCTGCACCTAGTGGCAAAGAAAGAATTTGCATTTTCATTCAGACCAAGAGAAAAGACCGACAAGTAGGCGGGCAATATGCTGATGTTTCATGTTGACGTCAACATGAAACGGCTTGGGATTCGTTTTAAAAACAACTAGTTTCAATGATTCAGAGTCGACTCTTTCTCTTGAGATACAATAACTTTATACTCAGTGCACTTTCAGATTTAAAACTTTGCAGGATGTTTTCATTCACTTAGAGCTGTGTTACACACGTCATTAAAGGTCATTTTCAAAAATCCATAATAGGGGCACTTTAAGCTTTCTCTGAAGTATTGTGTTTAAATGGACAAATTCACACAAATTATGTCAAAATGCCCGTCTTGGTAAGTATCCTATAGCAGACAGCCGGCTGAACGTACTGTATCAGTGCATTCTCTTAAAGTGACAGCACGTTCTTAATATGAATCAAACTGCAAGAACAAAGAAATCACTCACTGCTCTTGATTGAATAGCTTTTGTAACTTTAATAAAGATTAATCTTTAATTTATACAGTCAAATATGCAATGCTGTTTTACATTTCATTACTTTATTCAATTTCTGTACCTGAAAACTAATGTTAGACCTACCTAAAAAAAACTGAAAATCACTGTTTATTTTATTTGTATCTTTACTCTATTGTATTTATTTGTGCTGTTGCTTGTAGTTAGATTATTTTTATTTTATTTATTTTTATTTGACCAGTATAGTTTTTGCCTAAACATACATACAGAACATCACATCAGCATGGCGCCGCAAATGGCAGCAAGGACGCTGAGCTCCGCAATTCTTCTATTGTTTTTGTTTGTTTGTTCTGTGTTTTGTCATTCTTCTTCTATAAGTTTTACCAGAGACGAACTCCTTAACATTAAGCAGCACATCCCGGACAACATTTTTCCGGTTTTTGATTATTCGGACGTTTTGTTGGACATTCTAGTCGGAGGTACAATTAAGCTTTCATAATTATACATCGTCCATCACAACTAACATAGTATATTTATATTAAACTGCACACTTTGTAAATAACATATCTGCACACTAATAAACATATCTGTACATTTATCTAAACAATTACATTTTTTCCTATACTTCTATTTCTGATACATACAGAACTATACCGAAACCGTGACTCTTAAACAGTGATCCGAACCATGAGTAAGTTGAACCGTTCCACCCCTAATAAATATATATTGCACAAATTGACTGGTAAAAGTGTTTAAACCCATCAGCCTCAGTGTTGAACTGGAAGTTTTTTTTTGTTTGTTTTTTGGTGATTTTACGTTTGAACAAAAAGATCCAGTCTGCTGTTTGACCGTTTGTCTCTGTGTGCCATGAGCGATTGAATATTAACCCGTCAGCCCTTGATTTCCAGGTATGTCTCTAATGTTGAGGGAGAGGAAATAGTTTTGCCTCCCTTTGGCCCCAAACACAATTCATCATAGATAGGGTTGGTTACAGACAGTCTCAGTCTAATTTCTTCTCAATTGTGAACTGAGGATGTTTGAGCTGTCTGCAACAGTAATTTAAGCAAATGTATGGCTATTACTGTAAGATCTCACTTCAGTGTCTGTGTCTTGATTTACAGAAAACCGCCATTGTAGTAATAATTTCTGCTTCGATATTACTAGCACAGGTTGAGCAATGAATGAATTCTTTTTTTTTTTTTAGTTGAACAAATTAATTTAATAAACATAATTTAGTATCTATCTATCTATCTATCTATCTATCAATATATATATATATATAAATGTGTGTGTGTGTGTGTGTGTGTGTGTGTGTAAACATATATATATATATATATATATATATATATATATATAGTTTAAAAGCATTTGTTGTTGTTTTTTATGTTTTTTTGAAAGCACTATTTTATTTGATAAACTTTTATTCCCTGTAATAGTCCAGAACATAGTGGCATAAGCATCTGTTTGCTAGAACACTAGAAAGGAAAATCTGAACCTGTGAACTAAAACTTTTAAAAAATAATGTCAACAACATGAAATCAAATTGAACTGTGTTTACTTACTTGTTACATGTTCTTGGTCTTATTGTGTTATTGTGAACAGTTTGTCAGTGCACGTTATTTAGAAGCAAACGTGTACTTTCTTGGATTCAAATACAACCATGGTCTCATTTATTTAAGAGACCGTTTTAATTTGAGGTTATTTTAGTTTAATTTTAGGCACCAGGTGGAACATTTTGGCTTGATATTTGTGGAAAATGGGTAATGCACATTAAATCATTTAAATGCCTTAAATCAAGATGCTGTATTGATAAGGGTTTAAATTATAAATTTGCTTTTTGTTTAATTCTTAGAGTATGACAGAACCCTTATATGATCTTAATCAGCATGCATAATTGGTCATTCGTAAGTGGTCATGCATAAGTGAAAGAGTGCTGAAATTATGTACATAAAAGACTCCTGCTTTACATGAAAGAAGTCATGCATGTGCATTTCGGCCTCATCATAATTGATGCAAATCTATGTCAGTTGCATGAGTTGATCTAGGCCTGTGTTACTGTTTGAACTCTTTCTCCTGCTGTGATTATATGTGTTAAGTAAGGTGTTTTTTTTCTGGTAATCAGTGCAGCGATTCATTGATATGTTGGCAAGAGTCATCAAATCTTCTGAGCCATCAAAGGGGTGGCTGGGGGATTTCCAGCCTCAGCAGTTTCATCTGTTTCAGTTCATTTTAACTTGTCAAGCTCTTTAGAAACTTGTATTTTATGTTATTCAGCCTCTGGGGATTATGGGAGCCTGACGTATGAGGTGAAGATCCCCTCTTTGTCATTATTCTGATTTAATGTTTTTGTTTTTTTTTTGTCATTTACAATTTATAATCAGAATAACAATCTGAGAAAAATAGAGGAGTTCACATGATCAAAGTCACAAATTTGCTTAGAAATAATGCACATTGTTAAAGATATTGTATTTCATGTCAATATATAATTTGTTTCCAATTTTAACAGACCTAAAAGCTTTATTATATCCAGGTTTAAATTATATTTTAAATGGCAGGTTTATTTATTTATTTTTGCTGTTTCTCCACAGAAGCCAAAGAAGCCCCCACCACCATCCAAAACCCCAGGTATGATGTCACATCTTTAACATAGCATTTAACATCTCACTGATTGCATTAATTTGATTACATTACTTTACTTTTCTCTTTTCATTTTAAGCTGCTATGAGACCGCTGAGGTATAAAAGAGCTTGAAGTGTCATCATACTCATTCTGGCTTCTGAGGTTATGCTCAATGCCTCTCTCGCAATCATATGTTATAAGAGCCACAAAAGCCATGTGTTTAAGGCGGTTGTTCACCCAGAAATGAAAATTGTCATCATTTGTTCACAATCAGGTTGTTTCAAACCTGTGGGGGGGGGGGGGGTTTCCTTCTGTTGAACAAAGACGACGACATTTTGAAGAATGTGGATTACCAAACAATGTCAGGTCTCCATTGACTTCCGTATTTATTTATTTTTTCCCCTATGGAAGTCAATGGGGACTAGCAACTGTTTGGTTGTTTGGGTGGCTATTTGTTTAGATGACAGAATTTTCATATTTGGGTGAAATATCCCTTTAAAGCTCATTGTCATCAAACATCTTTCACTTGTTTTTGCCTGCCAGCCACCATCAAGATTTAAAATATGCTAGTTGCTGTTCGATTATTAGCTACAGGCAGCTGACATGATTTGATGGCCCTTAATAGTGGTACTTGAAGGGAACATGCCAATATGTCTGCGTCAGTATGTGAGTGGATAATAACTGGTGCAAGATGGCATATTGATTTGAGCTGCTTCCCCTGTGGTTTTCAGAGGAGCTTGCTGGTGTATGTTGAGAAGATTAGAGGTGATTGAATTATTGCATTGAATGCAGATCCCATGTCTGCCCACACATCAGCGACAGCATATTGAAAATGATTTGGACATTCTTTCATAGTTCTTCATCTATTTATAGCTTAAGCTGCAGCAATGATAATGTTTTCATAGTTTTATAATTGCTTGTGTTTTGGGGGGGGGGGGGTTCCG